TGGCACACCCAGCTCTGGAGCAGGGAGAGGGGGCGAGCTCCCTGCCCACCCCAGGCGAGCAGCTGCTTCCTGGTCACCAACATGGCAGGGGCTGACAACTGCTCCAACTCTCCCAGGTGTGTCTGGCTAGCCTTGAGGTGCTGGAGTGAGGGGATTCATGCACTGGTGCAGCTGCTGGGGGTAGTGGCACTAGGTTACTAACAGCATCACGGGGGTGGCACTCCTGGGGTGAGAGGGACAGGGGCTCCTCGGCCGCCTGGCCTGGCACGGCAGGAGGGGCGTGCTCAGGGGTCCCCACTGTACTTGATGAGGTGGCCGCTGAAGGTGATGTAGGTGTCGTACTCGTCGCTGAAGATGGCGTTCTCGCGCTCACCCTTGTAGAGCCGCACCCAGACCTCGTCCTGCTCCTTCAGCTCCAGCATGACGCTCTGGCTCTGCATGATGCTGCGGTCGCTCACCTGGGCGTAGAGGATCACCACCTCCGCGCCGTTGTGCATGATGTGCAGGTACGTCTCCTTCTGGTTCCAGGTGTGCACATTGAGGCTGAAGTAGTAGATCCCGGGGATGTAGCAGTAGAACTTGCCCGTGAACATGTTGAAGTGTTCGTAGAGGTTGACAAACTCGGTGTCGAAAATGAGGGTCTGGTAGTAGTCGTTGCTGTGCAGGGGTTTCTTGCGGCCCACGGAGAAGGCAGCGTAGTGGCTCTTGCAGCGCTCCCCGGGGGCGCCCATGCTGCCCTTCTGTCCCTTGGGCCCTGCGTGGCCCCTGCTGCCGGCCACCCCCGTCTTGCCGAACTTGCCCTGCATGCCACGCTCACCACGGTCCCCCTTCTCTCCTGGGCAGAGCAGCAGGGACAGTTGGGCTGTCAGGCAGAGGCCAGAGCTGGACCCAGCACCTTCCCCAGAGGCGGATGGAGGGAGCAGGGACCCACCAGCCCTGCCCCTGCCCCTGCCCAGGCTCTGATGCTGCTGCCCAGAAGCCACCAGCACAGGGGCTGCTCACACCCCAGTGTGGCTCCTGCCCTCTGTCTGTGCAGGGCACAGGACCACTGGCACCCCCCCAGTTTCTCATTCCCAATCTGTGCAGGAGCTGGCACTGTGAGCCCAGCTCAGCACTGGACCTGGGGCAATGCTGGCAGCACAGCCTGGGGTCCTGCCAGCCCTCACCTTTCAGGATGGTCATGTTGATCTGAGGCACGGGCTGGTACTGGGGGTAGAAGCGCTTTTCAGGGGGGGGGCAGCAGCGGACACAGCGGGACTGTGGGGGCAGCCCCTCCTGGGCACCATCAGCCTTCTGCTCCTGCGTGGCCCTGGCGAGGCAGAAAGCAAAGCACAACAGAAGCTGCGGGAGAGCGGGGGCCCTCTGCAGTGCCAGGGCTGCCCTGGCCCCGCTGCTGAGCACCCTGGCTCTGGGCCCCCCTCACCTGGCAGCTTGGTGCTGGGATGGGGCCTCATTGGGGCCTGTCCACCATCGCTGGTCAGGGATGGAGCTGGTCTGGCTCCCCACAGGGCAGGGCAGCAGGAAGATCAGCAGGACACCATGCACCCACAGCCCCTCCATGCCTTGGCAGTGCCCTGTGAGGTGCCAGGGACAGCTGAGGGGGACAGGAATGAGGAGACTCCCAGCCCAGCCATGGCCCGAGCTGTCCTGGGACAGGGCCTGTGCACTGCACAGCCCTTGGGCTCTGGCTGGGCTATGGGACAGTGTCAGCCCAGTGAGCACCTGTGGAGACCCACACTGGGGCAGTCAGGGGGCTGTGGGCTCTGTGCAGCCCCCCTGAGCCCTGGCACATACTGCAGATGGGATTACCTCCGGAGCTGAGAGTGCAGCAGAGCAGAGCAGCAGCCTCTGAGTGGGCCAAGTCCTGGACCAAGTGCTGCTGCTCCTGCTCAGCCTGGCTTCAGCTGCCTCCCATGGGCGCCCAAGAGCAGCAATTTGGGATGTCAGCACCTGAAAAATTACAGCGAGCTCCGTGGGGCAAATGTCAGGGCACAGCCCTGCCTGTGTGTGGGACCCCAGCCGGGCCCAGAGAGAGCATCTGCACCCCGCTCCTGCGAGGGGCTCCTGTGCCCTGGGGGCTGCCAGCCCGAGGGTTTGCAAGGGGACAACACCCACTCCTCCAGAAAGGGGGATGTGGGCTGGCAGCCCTATCTGGGAGCTGGCTGAAACCCTTCTGAGAGCCCACACCCTGTCTGGGGCCAAAACTAATATTTGCAGTGGTGGTGGCACCGTGGCCCAGCCCGGGCGCTTCGAGACCCCTCCCTCTATTATCAGAAGCGTATCTGCTGGAGACGTGGGGCCGGGCACGCAGCACGGCGCCTTCGGCCCGGCGGCACCAGGACAGCCTTGGCCAAACAGGGGTGGGCATCCCGCGGCAGCGGGCTCCGGGCGGGGATGGCCGTGCCCAGGCCGCTATCTCAGCCAGGTGCCTCCCTGGGTGGGGACATGGGTGTGGCCTCGGCCGCTGCTCCCCTCCCCAAGCCCGCCCGGCCGCGCTCCGCCGGGATCCCGGAGCGCCGGCCCCGAAGCGCCCTCTCGGCCCCGTGTTCCGCGGCTCAGCCAGGCCGTGAGGGAGTTGGGGGCAGAATCCTGTGGTTTTGGTGAGCGCCTGCTCTCCGTCGGTGGCCGGTGGCTGTCGCCATTGTCCCCAGGTGCGGGTCCGAGGGAGCAGCGGGTGCGGAGGGCGTCCGAGGCCGGGGGCGGATGCCTGCATTGTGAGTCACTGGAGCTGGGAAGGGGCGGAGGGATTGGGAAGGGCTCCAAAGGGCTTTTCCTGCTGCTCGAAGCCTCTGCCAAGGGCCTGGCACACACTTCCCGGTGCCTCCGTCCCTCACCCCACTGTCTAGCCAGGTGTGGAGGGAGGCAGGGGAGAAGCGGACCCACGGATAGAGCAGCCAGGGCCAGGTGAGCAGCTGTCACCAGGGCAGCCTTGCCCTGGCTCTGGCCAGCCTGCCTGCCTCCAGCTGTGCCAGATGTGCAGCGCTGACCGCGGCACGGAGCGTGCCAGGGTTTGGGAAGCAGCCCGTGGCTTTCCCTCAGCTCTGGGACCGTCACACCAGGCATTCATTCCTCTGGCACCTGGAGCAGGCCCGGCCCTGGGGGGAGCGCAGCGTCACAGGGAGCTGCTGCACTAGGAGAAACCCTTCAGCAGGAAGTTCCCATGGGGGAAGGCAGCGCTTCCCAGGCTGCCGGGAGCAGAGGGAGTGTGTGGTGCTCACAGGGCGCTGCCAGCGTGCCCCCTGCTCCCTGCAGGTGTGCTGGGCATTGTGTGCCCACCTGCGCTCGGGCACACACAGCCCTGCCAGGGACACGCGCTTTCCCTCGGGGTTGGCTGCTCTCCAGGAGCAGTCAGAGATTTAAACTCAGTGGCTGCAGAAGCCTTGGGACTGCAAGTCAAAACATCCCAAAATACTTTCCAGATGGAGATGAAGACTAGGATGGAACAGAGCGAACTCTAGGGGAGGGAGGGCTCAGGGCAGTGTGGAGGCAGCAGCACCTGCCCTCGTCTCTATTTAGGGTGGTGGATACAAACTTCCCTTCACAGCAGCCAGAACCACTGTGCCTCTGGGGTCGTGCTCCAGGTCCCCCTGTGCTGCTGCAGACGCTGGAACAGTTGCAGAGCCCTTTTTTCCCTGGAGCAGGGCAGACCCAGCAGGCAGCGGAGTAGGGGCTGCATGGGTAGGGGCTCCATGGGGGAAGGAGCACGGGGTAGCTGCAGCCTCCAGCTTCTGTAGCACCAACAAGATGCTGTGCTGGGCACCCCAACAGCCACTGTGACCCCCAAAGAGATGCCGAAAGTGGCCCAGTGGGGGTTTGATGTGTTTGCAGCCGTGGGTTTTTTGGGAACGCAGCCGGGGCAGGGCTGGGGGGGATCTGTGCCCTCCAGAGCCGCGGTGGGTCGGGCTGTGCCCCCAGACTGATGTGAGGCTCAGCCGTGCGGTCCCCACTGCTCCTCCTCAGGCAGGGCAAGGGCCTGGCTCGGCTGGGGGGGCTCCGGGACCGGCTCCCCTGGCTGGGCGTGTGCCCGGGCGCCCGAGCGCTCGGCGGGGCGGAGCCGCCCCCGGTGCCGCGGCACCGCCCGCGATGGGAGCACGGCCCCTGCAGCTGCGGGGCGATCGTCAGGCTCCCAAAGCTGCCCCCCACCTACCTCCGGGGCACGGCTTCTCCCTCGCGGCGCTGCCTTTGCCGCCCTAGGGCATGGCCCGGGCCAGCGCAGAGCCTGCCCGCGGCCGACCGCTGCCTCCCGCTCCGGAGCCGCCTCTGCTCGCCCGGCCCGGGCGGAAATGCACTTTTGGGAAGCGCAGGAGGCAGCGAGGCACGGGACGAGGCTCGCAGCCCTCCCCCGCCAGATGTGCGCCCGCGGCTGCCTTAACCATGCGTGCTCCCGGGACCGGCCGCCCCAGCCGTTCGTGCTCCGGGGCCGCCGCACCGGGAGCGGAGGCGGCACGTGCCAGCGGCTCCCCGGAGCTGCCGCGGGGCCCGGGATCCCGCAGGGTGCGGTTGGCCCCGGCCCTGGACCCCTGCCCCGTGCCGGCGGCACCGAGGCCGTTCCCAGCGCCGAGGGCACCGCGGCCAGCACAGCCGCACCGGGCTGCAGCCCTTGACAGCCGGACACGCACACGGCTCCCGAGGCGCGGGGCTGGGTCTGCCCCGCTCCCCACCCCGAGTGGCGGCGGGACACAGGGGGCAACCAGGATAAGGACGGAATGTGTTGCGGGCTGGAGCAGGGCAGCGCGGCGGTCATGCCCGCCGGGCAGCCGGGCTGTGCCCACTCTATAGAGCCGGGTCGGTCCCCGCACTGTCTCCGCCGCTGGGCTCCGGCCGCCCGTGCGCGGCGCCCGGCCCCGGCGGGCCCTGCTCAGCAAGAACCACAGCTCCCGGCAGGCCCCGCGGCGCAGCGGGAGGGGTGGCGGGGGCTCGGGGGCGCGCGAGGGCTCCTGGGAGCTGTAGTTTCCGTGCCAGACGGGGCGGTCGGGCCGCTGCCAGGCGCGGCGGCGGCGCACGGGGCCGCCGGGAGCTGTAGGCGGCGGCGGCGGCGGCGGCTGCGCGCGGGGAGGCGGCGCCGCGGTGAGCGGGGACACGGGCAGGGGGCGCGGGGCCGGGCCGGGCCGGCCGGCGGGGGTTGCGCACCGTGCGGGGGCACCGCGCACCTCGAGCTGCCTGCCCGGGCGGCAGCGGCGGGCTCCTCGCGACTGCGCCCCGCGCGGGGGTCCCGGGGGCGCGGGGGACCTCAGGGCCCGCTCAGACCGGGCGGTGCCCCCGCAGCTCGGCCGGGGAGGGGGCGCGGGGGTCCCCAGGGGCGCAGGCGGGCAGCGCCCGTGTCCTTAGAGGGGCGTCCCGTGTCCCTGCCCGGGGGTGCCGGGGGGTCCCCGTGTCCCTGCCCGGGGCTCCCCGTGACCGTGGCCCGGCGTTCTGAGGGTTCCCCGTGGCCGTGCTCAGAGCGGGCTACAGGCGCGGTGGGCTCAGTGCACCGAGAGGGTCCCGGGGCCCTCGTTCCGGGATCCTGGCGGGACCAGAGGCGCTCCCGTGCCCCCGGCCGCGGGCTCCGTGCCTGTGCCGCATCTCCCCTGCCCGGGCCGGCCCCCCACGCTCAATGCCGCCTCTGTTCGCCACCCCGGCTGCTGAAAGGCACATTGAGACCCTGCGGCATGGGCCCTGCTATGGCGGCTGGGCATCTCTGCCCCGGGATGGGGGTCTCTGCCCCGGGCTGCACGGCACGGGCTGAGCACGGCTCCAGTGGTGGCCGCTGGCCACCCGGGCAGCCCGGAGTGCCCATCTGCGGGAGCCCGGGGCGCTGCCACGTCCCCTGTGCTGCAGGGAGGGAGGTGGCACCGAGGGGCACTGCTGGCACCCCGGGCCCGCGGGTGGGCACAGCCCGGGGTGGGCTCACGATGCTCACGCGTGGAGGACACGCTGTGAGCCTGGGCAGGGATGAGGGGGTCCCGTGTCTGTGAGGGTGTGTGTCCCCTGGCACTGCGCTTCCTGCTCAGGTGCTGGCATCCTGCTTGGGCGGAGCTGCCACGTGTCCCAGTGTCCCTGTGTGGCTTGGGGACAAGCTCACAGCTCATCACTGGGGTGGGTTCTTAGGGTCCTGGGAGCTGGGCCAGGCTGCCCAGCCACTCTAGAGGCAACAAGGGTCATCCTTGCCACCCGAGAGGAACCCACATCCTCACAGGACCCTGTGGGGACGTGCCCCAGGACGCTGTGACACGGGGCTCACCTTGAGCCAGGTGCCTCAGCTCGCTGCCTGAGCTGCAGTGACCATGGCACAGACAGAGCTGCCGGGCAGGTCGGACAATCCTGCCAGCCCGCTGGGGCCCCTGGTCAGGGGTCACAGAGGGAGCCAGGTGAGAGGGGCTGAGGGTGGTTGCAGCAGCAAACAGCCCCTGGGCACGGTGGCTCTTACCTGCATGAGCTGGGAGCACCTTCTGCTGCAGGACAGGGGACGGAGCCCTCGTGGCTGTGTTCTGCTGTCCCCTGAGCTCAGTCGGCACCAAATCCAGCTCTTTGACCTTCTCCCTCCCCTCTTCGCAGCAGGTTCTGCTCGCCCCCTGTCTGATGCCAGTGCCGCCCTGCCATGAGTCTATGAGCCCGCTCCGGATCAGCGTGGGTGGCCTGCCCGTGCTCGCGTCCATGACCAAGGGTGCTGACCCCCGCTTCCGACTGCGCTGGAAGGCCATCGTGCTGTCCTCGGCCTGCGTGGGGCTCCTGCTGCTGCTGCTGTGCCTGCACCGCTCCTCCCCAGCGCGGCATGGGCCCCCCCAGCCCTCGCACCTGGCAGCTTGGCCTGCACGCAGGGCAGCCCTACAACGACACCTACCCGCTGTCCCCGCCGCAGAGGAACCCCGAGGGCGTGCGCTACCCGCATCGGCCTCATCGCCGACCTGGACACGCAGTCCCGCGGCCCCCAGGAGCACACCTGGTTCAGTTACCTGAAGAAGGCTACCTGGTACTGTCGGACAGTGGGGACAGAGTGACGGTGGAGTGGGACAAGGATGAGAGCACGCTGCAGTCCCACCTGGCTGAGAAGGGCCGGGGCATGGAGCTCTCGGAGCTGGTGGTTTTCAACGGGAAGCTGTACGCGGTGGACGACAGGGACAGGTGTGGTCTACCAGATCGAGGGCAACAAGGTGGTGCCGTGGGTGATCCTCCCAGATGGGGACGGCACTGTGGGCAAAGGTGAGCTCCCCTTGTGAAGCCCTTGGCTCTTTTCACCTTTCCTGTGACCTCTGGGCCTGTCCAAGAGAGGGCAAGTCCTGCTGAGAGACCAGCTGGCTGCGTGGGGGACGCTGTGCCCAGCACCGAGCTCAGGGATGTAGGGTGTGGGGCATGTGGGACAGTCCGATGGCCACGTGCTGACCGAGCCCCCCTCATGCCATTCTTTCCACCACAGGCTTCAAGGCGGAGTGGCTGGCAGTGAAGGATGAGCACCTGTACGTGGGAGGACTGGGCAAGGAGTGGACCACCACAACGGGGGAAGTGGTGAACGAGAACCCCCAGTGGGTGAAGGTCATTGGCTACAAGGGTGACGTCAGCCACGAGAACTGGGTGACAAATTACAACGCTCTGAGGGCTGCAGCAGGGATCCGGCCCCCAGGTATGGAGCAGGGCAGCCTCCTGCACCCCATATCCCACACTCTTGATGGCTCCAGAGCCATACAGTCACCCTCCCTGGGGATACTGGCACTGGGGGGGATTTAAAGGCTGCCGGAGGCCAGAGATCTCCCTTGTCCTGGTCCTTTTCCTCTGCTGCCTGTGCCAGGAGCAGCTGAAGGGTGGCTCAGCTGGCACTGGGCCTGGCAGCTGTGCCCTTGGGCAGAGTGGGGTGTGCTGGCTGCCCCTGCCCGGCTCTGGGAGGAACTGGGGGGCTGCTGCCCGGCAGTGGGACAGGAGCAGGCAGAAGAGTTCATGGGGGACGCCTGTGCGGGGCTGAGGGGTGTTTTGGAGGGCAAGGGGGAGGGGGAAGGTCCCGCCCCAACGTGGCTGTGCCCTGGGGCCTGGGTGGTCACGCTGCCCTTCCTGCCCAGGGTACCTGATCCACGAGTCAGCCTCGTGGAGCGACACGCTGCAGCGCTGGTTCTTCCTGCCGCGCCGCGCCAGCCACGAGCGCTACAGCGAGCGCGCGGACGAGCGGCGCGGCACCAACCTGCTGCTCAGCTCCACCCAGGACTTCGGCCACGTCACCGTGGGCCGCGTGGGCGATGTGGTTCCCACCCACGGCTTCTCCTCCTTCAAGTTCATCCCGGACACCGACGACCAGATCATCGTGGCGCTGAAATCGGAGGAGGACAACGGGAAGATCTCCAGCTACATCATGGCCTTCACGCTGGACGGGCGCTTCCTGCTGCCCGAGACCAGGATTGGGAGCGTCAAGTACGAGGGCATTGAGTTTATTTAACAGACATCTGGAGCGATGTGTGGGCAGGCCCTGCTGGCCTGCTCCCAGCCCGGGGTCCCTGAGGGATGTCAGGAGGCGCTCCCAGCTCTGTCCTTGGCCCCGGGCTCTCCTGTAAAGTGTTGACTGAGCTGAGCAGGTGTGGTGCGAGTGTTTCGGCAGTGGCACCTGGTGGCAAGGGACCGCCACCACAGGGTGCTCCCGGCCCCGGGACAGCATCCAGGTCCTGGGCAGGCCCCAGTGCAGCCCTTAGTGCCCAGCCCTGGATTGTGACAGAACCATCTGCGGTGGCTCTGGTGACGTCCACGCTCTGGGGTTGCAGCAGAGCCCCAGCTCTACAGCTGTGCCTTTTGTGCCATGGGGCTCCCCGGGTGGAGTGGGGTGTGCATCCAGAGAGGGTCAGACCGGGGGGATTTCATTAGGCTTTTTCTTCAGAAGCTGGATTTCCTTCCCCTTTCCCATAAGCTGGGTGAGGTGGTGGCTGGGGTGACGGGTGACATGTTTCAGAGAGAGGTCTCACATGGGAGGGGACAGTGTCTGTGTCCCTCTGCCCCTGTGCCCACAGCGGGTGCAGCAGTTCCCTCACCACTGTGGCTCCAGCCCAGTGGCTGTGCCTGTGGGGCAGGGGGTGTGGGTGGTGGGGCCACAGCTGTGGCCAGATGTAAGGTGGGCCTATCCTGGTGCTATTCCCAGGCCACACCCTCAGAGGGGTGTGTGTGTGCTGGCCGTCTGCCTTCTCCAAGCCTGGCTGCACATGGCTCTGACCCCAGAAATGCTTCAGCCCCAGAACTGTCAGCCCTGGGAAGAGCTGAGCCCTGGGAAGGAGCTGCGGGGAGCTGGTGACAGTGCAGCCATGCTGTGCAAGGGCTGCTGTGCTCGGTGCAGGAGCAGAGCCAGGAGCTGCAGCTCTGCTTCCCAGAGCGAGGAGCAGCTGAGAAACGTTTGCAGCAGCCCAGGGCTTTGGCCAGGGAGCCCTCCCCACGCTGGCCAGCGCGTTGTGAAATTGCTGCCGCAGCCTGTGGCCCCCAGGAGGAACTTGTGTGGTTTCAGAAGCCACAAGTGTCAAAGGGGCATTTGCTGGCCCCGGGGCCCTCCTGAACCCCCTGACCAAGGGGGCTGTGGCTCCTGGCCTGCCCACGCTGACCTGGCTCAGGCCTGCCCAGGTCACAGGGCAGCATCTCCTCACACCAGGACTGGTGTTTGGCTCTGTGCTGTCCCCACTTTGGTCCCCTTTAACACTGCCCCTGGGGCAGGTCTGCCAGCAGGTACAGCTTCAGGGAGCTGGGGCTGGCCCCTGTGGTTTGGGGGGCCCTGGTGCCCCCTGTATCCCTCTGCCATGCCCTGGCACTGCTCTGCTGGAGGGTCCAGCCATGCACAGGGAGGGAGGGGGCCTGTTGGGGCAGCAGTCAGGCTGCGGTTGGGTGGAAGGATCTGCAGAGGGGTTGGGGCCCTCCCAAGAACCCAGCCAGGCTGCTCCCCCCACCCTGTTTACAGTGTCAGCACCTCTGTGAGCCATGCACAGCTACAGGCCAGACATGTGTTTTCATTTAGCCCAGACAATGACTCGGCCAGTGCTGGGCTGCGCTCGTCTCTAGACTGGACCTGTCCCCAGTGCTGCAGACAGGCCTGGCTTTGGCCCCTGCACGTGGCCCGAGGATCGTGCAGCACCTGGCCAGGGCACCCAGGATGCATTTGCAGCCCACACTGGGTGCCAGCTGGCCACAGTCCATGATGGCCACTCAACCGTCACTGGCACCTGGCAGCCTCTCCTGGCCTCAGTCACCCTCCCAGCCCAGCACTGGCAGCTCCCAGCACCTGTTGTGGCCCCAGGGCTGTGCCAGTGGCTGTCCCTGATGCCCGGTCCCTTCCTGTCCCCTGGGCCGGAGCACCCCTGGGGCCCTGCCCTGAGCAGCAGCACCAGGGCCTCAGGCAGCTGGGCCAGCAGGAGTCCTGCTGCTGCTGGAGCCCTGCAGACCGTGGGCCCCATGCCCAGGTGTCATCCAGCACCCAGCACTGTCAGTGCTGTCACCTCCCACGTGTTCCCTGCAGGCTCAGGCAGGGTTGGGCCAGGTCCAGCTGCCCAGTTCTGCTGTTTGTTCTCATCCTGGAGGCTGAGCATCTCTGCTCCCTCCCTCTGCTGCGTGTATCCATGGCAGTGCTGTGCAGGAGGCTGGCTCAGGAGCATGTGTGGTGGCCGTGGTGGTGGCTGTCCTGCCAGCACGTGCCCATGACACCTGGCCCAGCTGTGCTGGAAAGCTGTGGCACTGCTGGGGACATGGAGCACGCTCAGCAGCCAGCCAGGCACAGAGTGCAGGTACAGTGACAGCAGCAGCACCCTGACACCCCCCATGCTGACACAGCAAGTGGGTTTGGACGGGGACAGAGTCTGTTTTTCCCATACTAGATGGTGTAGGGCAGTGTTTTGGATTTGTGCTGGGAACAGTGTTGATAACAGGGATGACTTCATTACTGCTGAGCAGCATTTGCACAGCTTGAGGCCTGTTCTGCTCTTCATCCACCAGTGAGGGGCCAGGGGGGCACAGGGAGTCGGGAGAGGACACAGGAAGCTGACCCAAGGGATATCCCACACTGTATGGAATCACACTCGGTGTATAGGGCTGGGGGAAGAAGGAGGAAGGGGGCACATTCGGAGTGATGGTGTTTGTTGTCCCCAGTCACCATCACCTGCTGGAGCCCAGCTGCCCTGGGGATGGCTCAGCACCTGCCTGCCGTGGGGAGGGGTGAAAGAATTCCCTGCTTTGCTTTGCTTATGTGTGGCTTTTGCTTCAGATTTATCTCAGCCAGCAGTTTTCACACTTTCCCCTTCCCAATTCTCTCCCCACCCCGCTGGGAAGAATGAACCAAAAGCAGCTGGGGGCTGAGCTGCCTGCTGGGGTTAAACCCCATCGTGCATCCAGGATAGAGAGAGACAAGGTGGGTTTGGAGCTGTGCTCCAGGGCAGGAGCTGGGGCCATGGGGAGAGGCCCGAGGCCCGGGGCACAGGACCTGCAGCGGGAGCAGGAAGCAGGCAGGGGAGCTGGGGTGTGGGACGAGCTGGGCGGAGGGGCCGAAGGTGGGGAGGGATCCTCGGGCATAGCCAGAACCGCCGCCTGTCCGGCCATCCGCCGCCCTGCCGGGCCGGGGGCTTTGGGCTCCGGGGGCGGGCGGGATGCGCGGGGCGGGGGCGGCCGGCGGTGCCCGCGGCGGGGGCCGTGCCGGGGCGGGGGCAGCGGTCGCGGCGGAGCCGCATCCCGCGGAGGGCGGGCGCAGCCGGGCTGGCCCCGCGCCACGCGGAGGAGGAGCAGCAGATCCCCGGAGCACGTTAAAGAGCGAGGCCGAGCGCGGCGGGGAGGAAGCGAACGGCTCCGCGAAGGCAACGGAGCGGCGGCCGCAGAGCGCCCGCCCCGGCCGGACCCAAGTTCCCGGCGGCGGCTCGGCCGGGCCCGGCGGAGGGTGCGGGATCGGGGCCGGGTGGCCGCGCCCGCAGCCCCGCACCATGCCCGCCGCGCTGCCCAGCCTGCTGGCCTGGCTGGCGGTGCTGCTGCTCGGCAGGGCCCGCCCGGCCGACGCCTGCAGCTGCTCGCCCATCCACCCGCAGCAGGCCTTCTGCAACGCCGACGTAGGTGAGCGCCGCGGGGATCCCCGCCCCGAGCCCCCCGAGCCCCCGCCCGGCCCCGCCCGCCGCAACTTGGCGGCGGGGGAAGCACCGGAAAGTTGTCGCGGGGCGGGCGGGGCGCGGGCAGAGCCCCCCGAGCCCCGGCACCTGCCCGCCCGGCCCGGGGGTGTGTCGGCGGGCGCGGATGCGCGGCCGGGCGCGGTCCGTCCGTGCGGGCTGTGCCCGTCCCGCCCCGCGCCTCCTCCTCCCGCCGTCCCGGGGGGGCTCCCGCGCCCGGCCGCGCTCCCGGGGGCGCCGCCGCCGCCGCGAGGGGCGACCGGAGCGCGGCTACGCCGGGGCCGGGTCCCCGCTGGCCGCCCCCCGTGAATGACACGGGTGGGCCCGGCCTCCCCCGACTCTGGGGACACCGCGAGGTACGTGGCAGCGCGGGGCTGGGGCCCGGCGGCCACCGGGACCCTCCAAGTGCGGCCACGGCACCGGCCCGCAGCCCGGAGGAGCCCCTGTCCCCGGCAGCTGCTGCCGCCGCGGCTCGGTCACCCCTGTCTGCGCCTTATTTCCAGGCATTTCCTTTCCCCCGTCCCACTTTGTTCGGCTTGGATGCTGCTGAAAGGGAGGGCTTGGCAGCGCCGGGATCTGGATTCCTCTTTCTATGAATAATGCCCTTATTAAATTTTAACATATGAACCCAACAGGCCGGCCCCAGTTCCCGGCGCTTTCCTTCGCGGGCCCGTTCCCAGGCTCAGCTGGAGAGGTAACATTCCCAAAGACTGAGACAGCCCCAACCTCTGGATGGCCCTGCCCTGTCCCTTGCTCCACATCCAGGATGTTCCTCGCTGGCGTCCCTTCCAGACCCCGCTCCCAGCGTCTTTCCTCCGTGAGGGCAACTCCCACGGCGCTTGGCTGCTGCCTCGGGTGCCCAGCTCACCACGAGGCGTGTTGGGGACAGGGAGGTTTTTGAGACAAAATGGAGCACTGGGTTTTTGTAGCTGCTGCTGGGGCCGGTGTCCCTGGCCCACAGGATGCCCTGTGCCCGCTCGGGCGGTGCGGCTGTGGCTTCCCATCACGCTGCTGTCAGGATCAGCTTTCGGGGCACTCGTGACTCACTGCCCGTCGTGGGGTGCCGGCTCAGCCCTGACTCAGCTGCTGAGTCACTGTCTGTCTTGGCGGCCCTGGCTGTCTGCACCGTCTGTGGCAGGGCCCCGCTGAGCTGAGCTGCGCTCCCCGGCCCTCAGCAGGTGCCCGTCCTGCCGAGGCAGCGCGCTCCCAGCCACGCTGCCGGCAGCGCTGGCACCTTCTGGCTCCCAGCCCGAGCTGCTTGTGTAGCTCGTCTGTATCAAATGTGCTTCGTGTGGGCCTGAGTGAAAACAGTGCTGGGCTTGGGGACAGAGTGGGGCACAGCCTGGAACGGTCCTGTGTGCCCTGGCCTTGTGCTGCCTCTTATCTTCCCTGGGATGCTCTCTGGAGTTGGGATGTTGCCCAGCCGGTTCCATCCCAGCAGGTTTGTGGAGCCCAGGGAGAA